TGGATCTTTGGGGAGGGGGGGGGGGGGGGGGGGGGGTAGCATATATACATATACATATATAGGTATGTAATGATATATGTTATATATATGTACATGTATATATATATATATATATAATTATGTATGCACATATTTATACATATACATATACATATACATATACATATACATATACATATACATATACATATACATATACATATACATATACATATATATATATACATATACATATACATATACATATACATATACATATACATATATATATATATGCACATACCAAAATGATGTACATACATACATATATATATGTGTATATCTACGCGTTTAGGGTTTAGGGTTTAGGGGTTAGGGTCTAGGGGGTTTAGGGTTTAGGGTTTAGGGTTCTAGAAATTGTATAGGGTTTGGGTTTGAGCGAAACGTTTTGAGCGAAACCTTTTGAGCGAAAGTTTTGCGCGAAACATTCCTTTTTAGAAATGAGGTTAGGGGGCAAGGGTGAGGTGGGGGGGGAGGGGGTCCCAATAAGTTTTGAGCGAAAGTTTTGAGCGAACGTTTCTGTTTTAGAGCCTAATGTATGTTTTTGGCCTTCCGGCCCTGGCTGGCCTCCTAGGATTCTTTGGGTGGCAAGGCCCCAGAGGTTTAAGTAACTTGAGCATTTGGCCTCCCAGGCGCTGTGGATGAATGGACTTACACTCTACTAGTCAGATGTTTAGACAAACAACCTGGGAAAATTCAGAATGATACCACGTATAATTGTTATTTTTTTGTCTTGAGGGTTTAGGGTTTAGGGTTTACGGTTTAGGGTTTAGGGTTTTTAAGGTTTAGGGTTTTTAGGGGTTTAGGGTTTTTAGGGGTTAGGGTTTTTAGGTTTAGGGTTTAGGGTTTTTCGGGTTTTTAGGGTGTAGGGTTTAGGGTTTAGGGTTTAGGTTTAGGGTTTAGGGTTTAGGTTTTAGGGTTTAGGGTTTAGGGTTTAGCGCTTCGGGTTTAGGGTTTAGGGTTTAGGGTTTAATGTTAACGTCGCTTTTAGAAACCCCACCCCCAATCTTGTTTTGGTCTCCGGGGTTTGGAGGGGTCAACAAAAAGAGGGGGTGTCAATAGTTGGAATCTGGGGGTCTTCTGGGCTCTGGGGGGGTCAGCTGTCAGGGTCGTCTTGCTTCTCTAAAGACTGAGCCTCGGAGCTCTTTCAAGCCAGCTCCGCTGAAAAATCTTCTCTGCAATGGAACTCTTAAGCCATTTTCCGTAAATTTTGCATTCCTGGCCAGAAAAATATTGCAGTTGTCACCCCATTATCATTCTCACCGGACCCCTCTATATAGACTTGTTTATGGATTTCGGCCCGGAATCCTCCCGTAAAGGAAAGTAGTCTTCGGCTGGTGGGGCCCGCTGGCCTGGCGAATATTGCAATTACCACCCCATTTATAGATGTGAGGTTAACATTAGGGTTTAGGGTTTAGGGTTAGCGGAGGGTCCTTCTTCCTGCTCGAATTGGGTGCACGTCGGAGGAAACTCCGATTGAGATGAGGACTCTAGGCGTCCTGGCACCGTGGCAATGCGAGCAGAGCGCTGGGAGGTGCAGCCCCCCCTTTTACTTATTGTGGAGTGGGAGGAAGCGGAGAAGACAAGAGAAGGGGCTCTATTTTAAATCAGAGGGAGGAAGGGAGAAGAGAGAATGTGGAATGGGAGGAAGGGGGAGAGGAGACGAGATTGCTTTTTTGTTTCTGGAGGAGTGAGACGAGATTGTTTTTTGTTTCCAGAAGTAGAGCGGGGGGTATTTTCGTATGGACAAGCACAGGTAGTGAACCAGTGCTTCCGATGTTGTTTCATCAGCAAATCTGCACAGAGCGCCTGCACAGCACACCCAATCACCTTCGACGTGCCCTCCGGTTACGGAAAATGATAATGATAATGATGATGATGATGATGATGATGATGATGATGATGATGATGCTGGTGATGGTGATGATGATGATGTGATGATGATGCAGTTCTTTTCTTTCCAAATTGAAGACGAAGCCATAGGCCCTCGCAGTTGAATGAAGATAAATGTGAGCACTTACCTATCATCATAGACTGGCGAAACTGTTAGTTTTCGTTCTACAAGATACCTGCCCCCATCCATTGTGCTGGGGTCTGGGTCTAGGTGATTTGATTCCCCTTATGGCAGTCCTTAGCAGACGAGGTAAAGTACTTGGGAGCCTATCCGAATAGTCATTCGTCGGGTTGTAAACCCTTGAGTTTCGTGTTTTTCAGATGGGCGCCTCCAGATCTTTGCATCCGTCCAAACAAAAGAAAGAACCCAAAGTCTGGTTGTCTCAGCCGTGCAAGGTTTGGAACTTGTTTAGAACATTTTCAGGGTTGCTCAGGCCTTGAAGATGTCGTCCACTTGGGAGCTGTAGGTATGTTTGTCATTTGGAGAACTTCGTTTTCGCTTGTTCTCAAGGGAGGGACCCAAGAGTCAAAGGGGTTCGATGCAGGCGAATGGGCTGTTTGACAACTGGGTGTTTTGAACTTTCAATCTAGGTTGCAGTGCGTGATCCGGGAGATACATGCAGAATGAGTGCTGCCGTGGTATCCGATGGCATTCGTTTAATTCGGCTTGGACTGTTTGGGGTCTTGCTGGCGAGATTCCACAAGTTGTTTGTTTTGCCGTTTGCAGTCGTATAGGCGGACACGTTTCAGGGAGTTATCCTCCGCAACATGACACAGCTTTTGGAGCTTCCGGGACAAAAGGGCGAAAGCAAAGTCACTGCAGCTTGCCATGGCTGTTGCTGCCGAGGCATTTTGGTTATGTAGCCACCGATGGCATTCACGTGGTTTGTTTTGTTTGTCGTGTTGCACGCAGGCATATACAACAAGGCTAGAGGTACGTGCGTTGTCTGTGAACATTCAGTGACTAGAGTTAATGCCAAAACTGGTTCCTTGACCTCGCGATGAACGAGATGGTGGAAGCTATTGACACAGATCGGCCTTCTGCCAAAAGTATGGATGAGGCTGGATTGCTGTGTTTCGTGCTGATGTAGGCATGTCTTGCTATTGCAGGTGTTGCCTGGAACGCCACAACACGAAGCATTGGAAGCCCCGCAGTGCCGCTTTTGCTTAGAGGAAGGTGCCGCGGAGGCCAGCAAAGGTTATTTGTTTACAATGGCTCCTGCATTGCCCAAAAAGATGCCCTCACATACTGTTCGAGTGTGTTGTCACGGAATTGTTGCAAGCCAACTGCGGACTGTGCAGGAGTTCATTACTCCATGCAAATGTGAGGGCACCAGCCGCCGGTCCCCTAGTTGGTTGCGAGCTTGACACGTGCCTTGTGTTCCGCATGTGCATTCCCGAGGTTTTGTGCACGAGAGTTGTTTACGTCGTTGGCAATCCGAGGAATCTTGGATCTATGACATTCTCATTGCTTTTTTGTGCTAGACGGAAACTAGAATATGAGGGACTTTGCTTCAAGGGGGAGTGCCGCTGTTTTGTGAATGATTTGGCTGTCACGATTGAAGCCGTCTGATCAGGCCCTCAGTTATGAACACGCGCTCGTGTGTCAAGTGCCCTCTGCCGAAGAGTTTGCGTTCTGTTGTTGACAGATGAGTTTAACGCAATTGTGCGGCTTGTGCAGTGTTCGGCCCAAGACAAGCTCACTGTGCAGTACAGAAGGGTTTGCAAAGTTCAGTGCTATGGCCGTGGCCGAGGCAACATATGTGGGGCAGGGGTTTACCCCTAAACCCCCAACGGGGGTCGATGGGTTGAGGGGTTCAGGCGTTTAGACCAAACACGAGGCAGGGCCAAAGTCTTAGGGTGTTGGAATCTTCTGCGAGCTTAAGAAATGTACAACATGTTGAACAGTACATGGGTTGTTGGTGCATGGTTTTCGGTTTTAGGTTAAGTTATAAGGACTTCGGACGGCGTACCTCTTCTCAGATATCAATGTTCGTTGTGCACATACACAGACCATGCTGCCTGCGAAATTCCCTAGTGGCGCAGTGTGAGCTGCCTAGAACCGTTGCTTGAATCCTATGGTTCAGTACCTTATATCTTCTGATGTTTGCAAAGCCTGCTACAGGCCACATGGCGCAGCAAGCGCAAAAGGGCGGGGCTGAACCGACCTGCCCTGGCGGCTCTAACAGTCAGGGGCCCTTGCAATGGCTTGCATCCTGGAACGTCAATTGGTTTCAAGCCGAGGTCGCTTTGGTATCCTTGGCGTCCGGCACTCACAGAAGTTGGCGTGTGCTCCGCGCATCCCTTGTGTTGACGCAGCAGAGCGCCAAGTCTGAAGCTCTCTCTGCGTTTTTTCTAGCATTTTGTTCCTCTCTCCATCTCCCCGCCTGCCTCACTCTCGCTGTCTCTCTCCCTCTCTTGCCCTCTCTCTTTTTCTGTTTCTTTGATGCTTTTCCATACCTCACTCAGAGAAAGAGGTTCAGAAGTCTGGTCTTCCTGCCGGGCAAGGCAAGGCCTCTGCTCTGAGAGATTTCAAAACGAATTACTATTTCCCTGCTCTTTCTGTTTCACTTGTCTGTATTCTCTTTTCGTATCTCGTTTTGGTGGCTTGTCTGCTCATAGCACTGGATGCGGGGATTTTTGGTTCAAGCTTGGGGCTTGGTTCGGGCCTGGTAGGGGGGTGCCGGCCCATGCGAGGATTCTAAGATGTATGGTAAGACGTGGCAAGGCATTGCAGGAATTGAAGCTTGCCTTCATGAGAGCCATGAGAGCCATGTTGAGACGCTGCTGGTTTGTACCAGTTGGCCTACTCTGGTGGCACTGTCTGATCCTCTGCTGCTTCACATGTTGTGCTTTCTTGCACAACGAAGCACTTCAACACTTTGGCCGCGAGCACTTTTCGGTTCTGTGCCGCACGTGCCGGAAAGTTCAACTGCAGATGTCCGTGTTGTGCCTGACAAACTCCGGGCATACCGATTGAGGTCTAGCCTTTACAGGCTTTCGATGGCGACCGGCAGTGCGCCCAGTCTTTAGGAGCCCCATCTGACTGCCTCCTTCCCTGTGCTGGCATGACGCCTGAAATATTCCGGGCAGGAAAGCAGGTGAAGGCAGAGCAGGGCCCTACCCGGAACTCTGCGTCTTTGACTTGGATGCCTGTCTCTGGGACAAGGAGAGGCACTCGTACGATCCATTAGAGACCTGAAGTGTTTTCAACGGAATTGCCCTCTCATAACTTGAGGAGATGTATGAGATGGAGGCAATACCGACGGACAAGGACATCGTCCTCGGCGACCTTCCTGGAGGTGAAGGTGTCACCGGCGCTGGGGCCCGAAGTGGGGCACGGTCTGCGAAGTAGACGACGAGAGTCTTTCCATCTTGTGAAGGATCCTTTGCTTGTTTTCAACGGATGTGGCTTAAATAACTTCAGGTCATGAGCGGCGTGGACAAGATCTCATTGCACAAAGGACCGTTTCCTTGCATCACCGAACGAGACTGTGGTCATGGCACGTCATGGCTGCGGCCGAAGTTACATAAGGAGCAATGAAGGCCTTGCAGAACCACGCGGAAGGTGGCCTGGAGGTGATTATGTCAATGAGAGCTGAGTGGCTTCCTTGAATTGTAGTGTAGAAGATAAAGCTGAGGTAACTATCCAGGTATGAAAATAGCGGTGGCCAGCAGCGCAGATACCCCTTTTGCTGAGAAAGTTGGTCGCAAGGCCAGGATTTGCAGGGATGTTACAGAGTCTTGGTATTATCACTTCCAGTGTTCCCTGAAAAAACTCCCTGAGGCACTCTCGCTTCTGGAGGCAGTGACAGTGGTCGTGGTCGCGGAGAATTGTCAAGCTTGTGTGCTTGTCTCAGGTGCTGCCTGGCGTGACAGTCTGGCAGCTTCTCTTGCGAGATTGGGATGGGAAGGACGTCAACCAGATCGGCATCTCGGCTCTCGGACTGAGCTTTTGAGCTTGAGGTGCCGTTAATGTCCAGCGTGGTGCCAAGAAGGGTACGAGAGTCGTAGTTATGATAGTGTTCGATGCAGTTTCCAGGCAGGCTGTTGAGACTTCTTGAGGAACTGTACTTGAGTTTTGAGCCACTTGTCCCGAATTGCTCTCAAGAAGACAGAGGCGCTTTAGGTGTCATTTGTGCCATGCATTGTTTTCCAGGCCGCCAGCCGCCCCTTTCTTCGAACAAGGCGATGACTCACTTCCCCCGGCTGAAGGCCGAGACAACTCCAAGGGACAGTCTTGCTGAGTCGTGTGTTCATTCGGTATCTTCGTTGTGCCATGCGCGAAGATGACGCACCGATCCTGTACGGCGTAGGAAGTCTCTCTGCGGGGCAGTCGCAGATACAGATCTGTTGCTTTCAATGGCCGAGTTGGGTAGAAAAGGCATGTCTGGTTGGGAGGGCTTTCTCTGCGCCTGGGCAGGAAGCCACAGGCGTGGCATACGACAGAATGCCGCCTGCCTACTTGTCTGGCAGAAGATCGTGATAAATGTGCATTGGGCTTAGGCTTTTCTTCGATGACTGCCTATGGTGCTCCGTGGCTTGATGGGGCTTGATAGCCTCTTGGGGCTTCAGAAGAAAACGCTGTCCTGCCAGGGGCGATCACTGCGGGATGGTCGCGCAGTCCTGCCGCGAGGCCAACGGCAAAGGCGTGGTTACCGTCAGGACATGTTAGGGACATTGTGCTGCCTACAGGAAGGGAAGCATCAGTGCCTGACCGTGATGCTCACCTGCGTTGTCTTGCACTGTCATGCTTGTTGTTGGGAGGACTCCCAGCGGGCTTGGCGAACGTGAGTGGGAACGTGGCCTGAAGATGTACGCGTCTGCCCATCGGTAGCTCCTGAAATTGATTCGCTTGAGTATTGGATAATGTTCATTTTCCCATGCCACGTGCTGGCAAGAGCAGGCTTTGGCCTGCGCCGCGATCCCGGAAAAAAGGTCTTTGCTTGAATTTCCTTGTGATGTAAAGCCATCTCAGCATCTAAAACTGACGCATACTTGAGCAATTTTGGCAGTGTCTGGTTTGCAAAGAGGTGAAGCCTGCGGCGAAGCCTACCATTGAGCGGTCCGTGCAGGTCGCGCTGCCAGGAGAGCTGTGGAGCCGATTCGCGCCAAAACCACTCCACACCTGTCATGATGTGCGTGGCCCGGATCACTTCAACCGAACTGTTGTTCCTTCACATCACACGTGTTTTGAGGAGGAGAAACAACCAAAACAGCACCCTCCAGCCAAGCCTGTACAGACCTTCTGGTAGTAGCATGTAAAGACGACAAACCGACGTTTGCTTTGTACTTTGCAAGTTGTATCACATCGCAAAAATTTGGTGTCCTTGTCACAGCAATTTGGAAGATGCTGAAACCTTATCCAAAGTCCGCGAACAAGTGCAGGAGCTGCCGCGTGGATGCTGACGATGCAGGTGCTGCTTGGTGTGTGTGTGTGTGTGTGCGCCAAAAGAAGAAAAGCAAAGCAGTATAGGGGCCTTTCGGCCTTAAGATGCAAGAGAAGAGAACCTCAGAGATCCTCATTTGCAAGGAGGCCACAGCTGCTGCTGCTGCTCGGCGTCAGTACTTTCCCACCCTGGATGACCCAGAGCCGGCTCCACCACCCCAAGAGGATGTTAGCAGGGACCCCGGCTGCCAAGTTGCTGTCTCAGAGTATCTCAGAGTCTCCATGGCCCTACGTGCTTGTACATGCGCGTGGTTTTGTTGCATCGATAGGTCCTGAACAAGTTTTGGCGACGATTGGCATGGCATGTCCCTCAGAGTTTAGTTGCCCTACTGCTGTCGGTCTTATTCATCTTGCACAGCGATGCAACATCAAGCAAGCCAACCGGTCGGGAACTTGTCGTCCATTGGCTGCCTTGCCCAGCTCCCCAACGTGATTGTTTTCTTCTTGGTGGCAGCCCTGTGCTTAGCACTTTGACATCATTGTAGAACCCCGTGCTCGAGAGCTACAGTTGCTCGGAGCATTGTAGTGCAGGGGGCAATCCGAGAATGGATTGGATCTGGAGGAGGTAGGGTCTGGCATGTGTATAGTTCAAGTTGTTCGAAAAAGAGTGGGACAGCCAGTCGACAGTCTGCCCTCCTGCCAGTTGCCTGTGTGTGAGAGAGAGAGAGAAGAAAGAGAGTACGTTGCGCAGGTTCACCGGTTCGGGGCAGTCACAGGGGGTCACCCCCAAGCCCCAGGAAAGAAAGCAAGAAAGAAAGAAAGAAAAAAGGAAGGAAGGAAGGAAGGAAGGAAGGAAGGAAGGAAGGAAGGAAGGAAGGAAAGAAAGAGAAACAAAACAAGAAACGAAGGGAGAAAGAGGCCTCACACACAGGATCAAGGGAGTGCAATGGTGTTTACTTATGTTGAAGACGGATTTCTGTCAGCTGTTGTTATGTGATTCCTTGGCAACCCTAGGAGGACACAACCACTTGAGACAAGTACTGGTCTGCACAAAAGGGCATAAGAAGAAATGTTGTCACATAGTCCGGAACAGTCCAACCCTCAAGTTTGCTCGGGGGGGGGGGGGGGGTGCTTAAATAGAGTCTATTTGGAAGCTGGCTCAAGAAAAAAAAAAAAAGGGTTTTCTTATAAGCTCACTAAGGAGAATCAAACTACACACGTTTCCACGAGGGTACGCTGCTGTCACGTCAGTCGTACTATGGAGGCCTCAGGAACAAGAACCAGGTAGTTCCTCTTTTCTCTTCTCTTTTTCTCCTCAATCCTAAAGTCGAAGGCTCTCGTGAGGAGAAGAGAAGGGAGAGAAGGAGGTAAAGATAAGAGGAACACGATTTTCATGGGAAGAGCCAAGAAAAGAATAGAAGAGAGATAAAACAAGGCGCAAAGAAGATGGTACTCTTCTTTATCTATCCTCTCTCCCTTATCTCTCCGTTCCCTCTGTCTTTTCGAAATGAAAAAAACAAAAAGAAAGATGAAAAGAAGAAGGGTTAGGAAAAGAGCCGAAGAGATAGGCCGAAAAGAGGGGTATGGTGAAGTACGGCAAAGGTCCACGCACAAGTAGTCACCTTCTGCTTACCCTTCCACTGCTTGATTTTACAAGCTCCTTTCTTGTGTTTTATCAGTTAAAATTAAAAGGAAACAGAAGGAGAGAAGGGAAAGGGAAGTGAGAGAGGAGAGACAACAAGGAGGCCATTTTAATTTCCTGTGAGTTATCAAAAGGAATGCAATATTATGGGAAGAGCAATGGAAAAAAAGAGTGGAAGAGAAATTAAGACAGGAGAGGGAGGTGCAAAAATAAGGCAAAGAGAAGATGGTGCCGTTTTCATCTCACCTCTCGTTCTTATCTTCCTCTTCTCTGGTTCTTTTCCCTGTGAAATAAAAAAAACAAAAGGAAGGACAATGAACATATAAAGGAACCCGTTTTCGTTTTCCGTTTGGGCACAAGGAAAAAAAACAGAGGCGACAGGGCGAGAGGAGGGGTTTGCTGAAGCATGGGGAGGGTGTACGGGCAAGGGGCCAACTCCGCCCACTTCCCCCATCCATTGAAAGAGGAAAAGGAACAGGGCCTCCATTCCCCTCTTATTCTTCCTTTCTTGCGTTTTTGTCGTTTAGAAGGAAACAGGAGAAGAGGAGGGAGAGAG